GAAAGAAATGGCCAAACGAAGATAAAAGAAAGAAAAGAATGACACATTTGTGGCCACGAGTTTTGGACTTGTGGGGGCAAGTGATAGAAGTAGTATAAGGCGGTTTTTCAAAATAATCCCATTTTCATTCACAAAATTTATGTATCTTTTATGAAAATAATATTTATCTTTTTCCCTTTACTCTTGTTTTTCACAAACACGTGTTTTGTAAGCTTGGTGCGAGTCAACTCCAACTCCAAAGGTTCCTCTTATTAGAAGAGCCGCCCACTCATATTATAATAGTCTAGGTATCCTAACTTACTTTGTCTTGGTTGTTGCACATTCAAAATATAAAGGAAAATTTAAATATACAGAGCCATCTTTGCACTCACTAGCAAATAGCTAATATTTTAAGAGCTATGCGTTTTGGATATGTATGTTACCATAAACTCTAAAAGTAGCCCGAAATTGTTAACGAGAGAAAGAGATTATACATAGAAATCCCGGAATGGAAAAGAAACCAAAATAGTTATGCAACTAAACAGTGGAAAACAAGCACATAATTGACTATCATAAACCAATTTAAATTCATTTTAAAGATACTGGATCGCTTCTGCTTTGCGTAATCTAACACAAATTACATGTTTCAAATAAAATAATATTATATAGATAAACATATATAATTTAGGGTTTATTTCCACTCGCAGCAATCCCTATCAGAATTGACTTGCTTGATATGAAAGTCTGTCATGTGTTCACATTTCACACGGTTATCTTACATTCCAAAGATGACAAGTAGTCTTTCGTTAATCATTGATTTTGTGGACAAAACGAAATCTCACCAAATTTATCTTCGCCTATGTGGGGTTGACATGGATGCTCATTGACCCCTGTTGATGCAAACATTCCCTTTGTCAACATTTGGTCCCACATTGTATATTAAATATATAGTAATTCTCATGTTATAAATTTAATTTTTCAGTTAGACCTAATTTTATTATTTTTTAACATTGTTTTATACTTTCTACAAAACAAATTATTAATTAAATTTATTTTTTAAATTAAAATTCCTATTTTTAAAATATTAACTGTAATTTATTTTTGTATTATTTCTTCAAATTAAATATCCGTTCTTTATATTTTTAAACTAGTTCTTGTTGAGTTTTATTATTTCTCCAAAAATCTCAGGTACTTGTATTACTCAATGCTAATACTTTTATATATTTTCAAATTCTTTTTAAATTAAAATTTCTTTAATACACAATATTTACTAATTTCTTCACGCTCATTTAACGGGCCTGTCATCTCAAATCTCTGAGTTTATTTTTTTATTTAAGCTTAAACGAAAGTTGTTTTTCGTCAATTACTCTAGCTAGCCGCCGCAAACCCTGTTCCATTTTCTTTGTTCAACTTCTACTTTATAAACTCTTGCATTATCAATTGAATGCGTTTCTAAAATAAACTGAAACCGGCTCATTTCGTCATTCTAAATATAGGTTTTTTTTTATGTGATTTGGAAAATTCAACAAACTTTTGTAATTTTCATTAATATATTCAACTAATTTTATAACGAAGAATTGTAATTTTTTTTAAAAATATAAACTTTAAACTACAATGTTTAAATTAAAAATTTATAAAAAAACCCCCTTCAAGGGAAGAGTGAGTGTGTGTCTCTTTTGAACGGGGAATCCAATTTTATGATATCATTACTGCATCAGAGGGTGATGTTTTTATTTTATTTTATTTTCTAATATTTTTTACTTTTTACTTTTCAGTATAGGGTCAATTATACGCTAATGGATCAAAGGACTTTGAAATGTGCAGAGCAAAGTGGTAAAATGGAGTTGAGCAATGTGTTGAACGCACGCATTCTCCTTTTATCTGTTTGTCATTATTGCTGGACAAAGAATGAGCTTACAGAACCGCACATACTTCTCTCCCTTCTGTTTACTACTTATTTCACATCTGCCACGTGTAAATAAATAAAAAGTAAAATTATAATTTTGTTCAAAAAATTAATTTAAATTTCAGTTTAGTTCCTCAGTCTTGTATTTAATTCAATTCTTTAATTTTCTATGTTATTTTTTAAACTTTTTTTTTATTAAATTTAATCTTTTAAGTTGTTTTATTATGCTAATTTTTCTCTATTTTTATTTTTTTAAATTTTTTTGACTAATTAATGTCGTATTTTGATGCTTGATATGAATATGAGTTTATGGTAAAAGTGTTAATGGTGATAAAGATGAATATTTGAGATTTATGCAATAATAATAACTTTACAGTTTACAATATTTATTTAGCATAAATGAAGAAGCTGGAATCTTAATTATTAAAAAAAAAATGCTATTTGTGGATTGGTAAGAAAAAAAAAATGAACGATTAAATTGAATAAAGAATTAACTTAAAACTTATATTGAATTTAAAGAACAAAGGTTAGAATTTTATAAAATAAATTGTAGAATGGTCAAAATAAATTATAACAAAAAAAAAAAAGGAAAATAAATAATTTACATTTGTCTACTCTATTTCCATAAATTTAACTTCTTAAAATACCGAAATGTCAAATCGTGCTCTTGCCGTCTTAGGTCAATGTTAGAACCTTCCAACGGGGCCCTTTCAACTTCTATCAAATATTTGTTCTCTTGAAACATCGTAGCAAAGAGAGTTGAAGTCTTTTTTCTCAATTAACTAGTTAAGGTATTGTTTTGGTATTTTCTGAGATCTAAACGTTATCCTCACTTAACGTATCTGTGCAAAATATCCTTATGAAAATTTAGAGATTCCCTTAAATTAATTATGTTGATTAAATATTAGTATTTTTTAATATCATTATGGATGATTGAATATTTAATATAAATGCTTTTAGTTTTCTAAAACTCTAAATTAAAATCACTGGATAAGTTAGAGTAACATTAATAATATAAATAAAAAAGTTTAATTATTTAAACAATGTTTTTTTAATTATATCATATTTTTTTTATTATGTATGATAATTGAATAATATATTATAATTGAAGAAAAAAATATGAAAAAGTGTACAAAATAGTAGTTAAAATTATAATTATAATTCTATATCTATATATATAAAGAAAAGAGTAGCGATTGCTAAGAAATTGGGATTGTTACCAGTGAGCCATAACCCCATATGAGACTAAACATTTTGACTAAAGGGACTTAAACTTTAAAGCAATTTATTTTCTTAATTGGTATTAAGTGAACTTAAACGCAACCATAGAAGCAAAATACGATTAGTTAATTAATCTTGTATGTTTATACTCACAAACCAAAGAGCTTTGAGAATCTGAGATTACTTCTTCTAAAGAAGACGACAAATGTTGCTTCTTTCTTCCAACTACTGAACTCCAATTGCCCCGTAAAGAAGTCTAAACTGCTCCGCCCTATCCATTTACCAAGAAGGATAGTCTATTATAAATTTATAAATAAGAGGATTAGGAGACTGTTATTGCTACTCTCGTGTATCTATTATTATTTTACGTAAAATACTTATTATTATATTATAAATGAGACAAAAAGATATTTTACACATAAATCACTTAAAAAATATAATAAACATTTAAGAATAATAACAGACAGTTAAAAATAAAATTGAATAATGTGCTATCTTCTGATTATTTCAACAAGTTGCCACAATGAATTAACATTTAAGAATTAATGGAGGTCGTAATAAGAAATTATAATTTTTTTTATTGTAAATAAGGATGTTAATTATATTTCTTACTCTTTGTGTTATCTTTTTAAGTTGACAGATAAAAAAAATGGAATAAGTCAATAAACTACAATGAGAGGCATTAGTAACATTAACTGTTACACATTTCAATAAATTTTATAGAGTTTTTAGACACTAATTAACTAACAAAAAAGGTTTCAGAGTGTTTTTTACGTTTGCTACTGTTGCTTCTTCCATATATCTTGAATGTCCTTTAAATTTCAAGTAAATGTTTGATATCTGGTTTGGAAACTCTCAAACCAAGACTTGAGCCAACTTATCTGTTGTAACTTCTAATAAAATAATGATTTTAGGATTCTAAATGAAACTAAACATATTATAAAAATTTATATTTCGAATGAGACAAAACCTTGATTGACATAATAAGTTGGGGAAATTTTATTAATTTTGTTGGATTGATATTTATTATTCTTCTTTTCTAACTTGCACCTAATCTCAATATCCTGTCTGGACTCAGACTGAATAAGTTAATTTAGTCTTAGAAAATCTGCACTTGTTATTTGCTGAGCTCTTGTTGTCGTTCAGTCAACTGCATAAGGCCTGGGGTAAGTTACTTAAACCATGCATTAGAACTTGGATATATTGAAAGTGACTATATGTGACATCAGAACCATTTTTTCCATTCAAGGAAAAATAAATAAATCAATAAATGAATGAAACATTGTTTTCTGGATTATAAGCTAATTGCACACAAATTGAGTCTTTGCATTTTCCTCTGTATGTCTATTATCTTTTTGGTTTCTGTGATGGGTAATTGATATTACTATAATAATGTTTGTGGAAAGCATGCATGAAGACTTCAGTTATTCTATTGGTAGATCTTTAAATCTTCTTTCAAAATCACGCAATGATGTAATAATCTACAAAGGCCCATTTCTGGTACAGTCCTTAAAATTTGGGTTGATTGGCAGCTTCATCATTCGCATTACAATTTGGGGATTTTATTTTCATTTATAGAAATTAATTTTTGAATATATTTCTTAAAAATGATTAATATAATTAAGATTTTGCTTTCAGAAAAAAAAAGGTAGTGTAGTTAAAAAAGAATGGTGAAAAAGAAAAAATGATATTACGTTCACGAAGCTTCTGCCCTTTTTGTCCAAGCATGTAGAAATCTCGGGCTGTTTAGGCCATAGAAAATGACCCAAAATAACAGGCCCAAACAGCCCATAATCCAGTCCACGATGACCAGCAGTTTGATTCTCTGTGACGACGCCGTATCAAATTAAAAAATCTTAACATCCTTGTCCTGGACCTTATCATTTATCATCCACATTTCCGCTGCAAGCACTCTAATTTGGGTTCGGTGTCTGTTGAGTCGTCACCGATTCTACAATGGCGACGTTTACGTTTTCTTTTTCCACTAAAACCCTAACCCTACCCTCTCACACCAAAACCCCTACGTTGAACTTCAACAAGGTAACGAATCTTCGCCTCCCTCATCCTCTGGGGACCCGAACCCGAACCCGAACCCGAACCCGAAACCCTAGTGGGATTCGGGCGACGCTAGATGGGGAATACTCGGCGAAGAGGAGCAGCAGCAGTGAGCAGAGGGAGACGATAATGCTACCTGGCTGTGATTACAACCATTGGTTGATTGTGATGGAGTTTCCTAAGGACCCTGCACCCACACGCGAGCAAATGATAGACACTTATCTCCAAACTCTTGCCACTGTCTTGGGAAGGTTCTCTCCTTTTACTCTTCTTCTCATTCTTACCTTTCTTTTAAATGTTGAAATATATTTTTCAAATTGGAATGGATGTGGAATTCACATGTTTTATGTAGCTCCTAATAATTGTTGCTGCAGCTTCTGATATTCGGTGTCTGTTTTTGGGGTGGTTGAATTTTTCAGAACCGAGTTTTTCTGTGCTGTATATTTATAGTATGAATTTCACTGTTGTTGAAAGAAACTCAAGTTTTAAGATGAATGAAAGGTCTAATTGTTTAATGAGTTATGTTTTAAATTTTCATTATGTGTTTGTGTATCAGCATGGAAGAAGCTAAGAAGAATATGTATGCCTTTAGTACTACCACGTACACTGGATTTCAGTGCACGGTTGATGAAGCAACGTCAGAGAAATTCAAGGGTAATGTTTGGATTCCGAATTTATCTTGATAACTTAGTTTTGTTGCTTGTTGAATATTGTTTTTTTCTTATTTATGCTTGTCCTGCTTGTAGGTTTGCCTGGGGTTCTTTGGGTACTGCCAGACTCTTATATAGATGTTAAAAACAAAGACTACGGAGGTTACTTTTAAATTTCTAAACTAATTGTGTGTCAATATTCTACAGCTTGATAATATCGTCACTGAATGCTTATTGTTCTTTGGTTTTAGGTGACAAATACATAAATGGGGAGATCATTCCTTGCAAGTACCCTACCTATCAACCAAAACGTAGCGGACCAAAGAATGAGAGTAGAAGGTATGAGAGACGGAGAGATGGTCCTCCCCCCGACCGCAGAAGGCCAAGACAAGAGGCGGCTGCCTCCGATTCATCCTCTACGTGAGGTAATGGATCGCATTGTCTATTCCACTCTTTGGATGTTATTGGTCTCCCCTTATCCAGTGTGTCTTAAAATTGCTACCTGAATCTAGTATTACAGATCCACAGCTTCGTTTTTAACTTAAACTGTATGTTGAATGAAGTTTCTTTAATTTTTTCCTATGCCTGTTGTTCATGAAATCATGTCAAGTTCTGCAATTTTCTTCTTACTGTTGCAGTCTTGCAGGTGATTTTCTGTTTTGCTGAGATTAATGTCGAAAGAAAGCTGCTGCTGCTTATCATAGCTCTATAAGGTGCATGCTCATTTTTACAAATAGAAGATTAAACTTGTATTGGATTCTCATCTGATACAATGTTATGGAATGTTTTTGGCAAAGCTCAGACGGCTATTTTCACGATTCATCTTGAGGAACATGTGATTTTTGGACAATATGAATATGACATCTGAGACGGGTAACTGGGTACTGGATTTTTTTGTCTGTAATTTGGAGCTACTTACCGTGCAACCAGTTCGTTTGTGTTAAACTTTTACTCCCAAGTTTCATTGCAGTTTGAGCACACGAAGTGACTAATATGTACTGTACAATATCAATATGCTTAGATAATGTGCATATTTAGCCCTTCGACGTAAGAGCAGGCAAGTAATAAAGCTTTGAAGTGCAGCACCTTAAGGTGTTTCTGGTTTTGTTTTGTTTTGTTTTGTTTTGTTTTTTTTTGTTTTAACTAAATTGAAGTTTCACCTTAATAATTTATCTAATAGAGATCGATATTAAAAGTAACAGTTACCAAAAGTAGTGGTGAAATTTTGTCATGAATAAAATACCAAAGCAGTAAAATTATTCATTAGAGTAATATAGTTGGGGGAGATGAGTGCATTGGATGTTGGAGATAGTTGCTTTTAATAAAAACTCCTGATTGGTAAATAAATAATTGGTGCTTTCTTTGGGATAATTATTTTAACAGCAGTAAAGAGGGAAAATAGAGCTGATTTAAATATGGAAGGGATGCAACATTTATGCTTCGTTCGGCTGTTTAGAGAAATTAAAAGAAAATGAACATCAGAGAAAATAAAGAGTAGACAGAAAAAAAAAAAGAAATTTAACAAGAAAGATTGGTTTGGTTGAACTTAAAGGAATGAAAAAAAAAAACCTATAAATGTGTTAAATAGTTTTTATACTTTTAATATAATGGTTAGTATATTAAATATAGGAGAAGATAGAAGTCATTTTGATTAGTTTTTTTTTTTTTATTTTCATTTTTTTGAGGCGTGAGTTTTACATATTTACTTCTTTCTCAAATTTTATGAATACAAATACATGCTGAAGTTACATGCTGAACGCAAATCTATCACTAATACCCAAATTTGTTTTGACTCATTTTTACTCGAATCATAGCATTAATGATTTGGAGAAACAAGTGCCTATTGCCATCCCCATCCATAACCACCGTCCACCGACAAAGACATATATTATCAGGACATAAGTTTTGTTGTAGGAGATGATCATGGGCCATGCCTTTAGACGAGTCATTAACAATGATTTATTTTCATCAAGGTCCCAGTTAATGAATGTTTTAAAATAACTTATTAAAATATATATATATATATATATATTTATATTGAAGATTATGATAGAAATATATTGGTAACCGATAAATATATACTTTTTCTTACTTTAATATTTCAAGGATAATGATTAGTATTTTTTTTATTAATTGTTTAAAATAATTAATTTATTGATTGAGATGTTGTTGCTTGCATTTATAAAGAGAACACATAATGTTTACAATTGTAATTGAATGTAACTAACCAACTCTTTCTTATGTATATTTTGAGAGATATTTGCTAATATTATTCTTTTTTATTAATGTTAGTGATTCTTCCCTGTTTTTTAATAATTGTTACATTTTGATCATTTAGAACTTGATTAATAACTTAGGATTATATTGGAAAATATTCTTCAGGTTAAGAGTTGGAACAAATCACCTAACGAAGTATGTTGCTAGGAATATGAGATTATTTTATTAGTTTTATTAAGCATAATACTTAAAAGCGAGAACCTTACGTAAATATTCAAAGAATTGATATTTGTAGTAGTAATTTAGAATCTTAATGTTAAGGTATTAGGTGATAAATTGTCATTTTGTCATACTACTTATGAGATTTTTTTTTATTATTAAAATTATGATTTTATCCCTTAAACTAATCATATTTCTCTTGGTTTTATTGTAAGAAATTGTGGCAATGCAACTTCATTAAAATAAGTCAAATCAGGAAGAAAGTTGTAATGAGTAAAAATAGGTAGATTCTAGATTTGAAATTAAAATTAAAATTTAGATTTTAAATTTTGAATTTAAATTCTACACTTTATGCAGAAAATCTTACTTTATCTAATAATAAAGATACATAACACACTTAACCTATCATTCTCTCATTCTTTTTTATGGAGTTGTGTTTTCATAAGAGTAGATTAATCAGAGAAGTTTTTATTTTATTTTATTTATGACTATGCATGTCTTGTATTTAGTTATATTTATTTTTATCTTTATAACTATATATAACTAAATACCTTTTGTTATGAGGTTGAGGTAAATTCTTATAATGTAACATTTTTAAAATATAATTTGATATTATGATGTTAATATTGTTTGTCAATTATAATTAACTTTTTGATGTTATTATTATTTTTGAATTGACCACTAAAAGGTAAATCTTACTTAATTAATTGATATGTGATCATACCATTATATAAGTTAATAGAACTAAAGTGTAATTTGAGTTTAGGAGTTAAGATAATTAATTTATCATCAAGATTTTTAATCGATTAATTGAGTTTAACAAATCTAATATTTCTTAATATTCTTATTCATCTTTTTATTTTCTATGATCATTAGGGTAACACATAGATAAGAAAATTGTCATTATTTCTTGATCATTGGATACTAGTAAGAACTTATTACATTATTGATAATTGCTCTAACACAATTGGAAAAAATTGAATTGGGAAAAATATAGGTAATCACACAAAGAAACTGATGTCCAAGCTTTTATCCATATCAAAACAACTTTGTGATTTTTCTATTTTTTATTTTTATCAATTTTTAATTTTTATTTTAATTTAAACACTCTCAACCTTTGAATTGGCTTAACATCTAAGTAATAATAATAGTAGGCGCTTGCAATATATTCTCCATGAAAATAATATTGGGAAGGTCTCAAATGCTCTCTTTTCTACAATTTACGGTTTAGTTGGTTGAAAACCTTTTAAACATTTAAAGTTTGCAACATTTAGGCCAAGAGGATATGTGCGTGTAGGTCTTGAATGCTCCATTTTTACTACAACTTACAGTTACACTTGCTAGTTGATTGAAAACCTTTTACAGTGTGTATGTGTATGTTTTAAGATATACATGGGAACGTTGCATGAAGTTCAATCCCAATGTTCCATTTCATCAATATTTTATCTCATTAGGCATATTCTTATATTTGTCAAACGGATTTCACTTTGCGTACACAATCTTCAAATGTTATGCTTGATAAGTGTCAAGTTTTAGTAAATGATAAATTGAATTAGGGCACTTATTGTCTTTAATAAATTGAATTTAATTTTTAATCTCCTTCTAATTTAAAAGAATTTAAAGTAACATATTTATTTTGACTAAGAGATAAAGATAAAGATTCTTCTTGCTCATTTTTTTGTTGAATTTTTGTTTTACAAGAACCTAGGAAGGCAAGGAAGAAAGAAATGAATGAATCTTTCCATTTTTTTCTTGAGCAAAAATCACTTTTTAACTAGAGCGAGAACATTTTCGCTCAAGTGACAGAAATTTGTTACTGCCTGATTTTATCTCTAGCGGGAATTCTTTACTTGAGCAAAAATTACTTTTTAACTTGAGCGAGAATATTTTTGTTTAAGCGACAAATTTTTGCTTAAGAGAAGATGCTCTTACTTGAGCGAGAATTTGTAAATTGAAAGTAGAGTCTTTGGAGTATTTTTTTGCTCAAGCAAAAATGCGCTGCTTAAGCAAGTACTCAAAAAATTGAAAGAAGAAAGCTCTTTGGAACATTTTTACTCAAGAAAAATTGTCCTTGCTTAAGCTAAAATCACAAAAATTATTTTTTAAAAAACAATCACTTGAGCTAAATATCACAAAAAATGTTTTTAAAAAAAATAAGGAGGGGGTTCATTTGTTTAAAAATCTAACCCCTACTCCCTCAAACTCTTAGAGCACTCCTTTCCCAACCTCACATCACTCTAATATTTGGTGCTTTCATCTCACAAAACTCCTTCTTCTATCTTTATTCATCTAAAAGCCATCCATTACTTAGGTACATTCTTCATTTTCATTTATTCCTTCTCTATGCATGTTTGTTTTTATTTGATGTTGAGAGTGAAGTTATGCAACTAGAGATTATGCTTGTTGTTGAACTAAATAGATTGTGCAACTAGGAATACAATTTTTAGATTGTTGAAATAGGTGATTTTTGTGAATGGGTGCATGTAAAATTCATTTGTTTGTGATGAATTCCCACCAAATGTTTGATAAAATACTCCAACTACAATTTTGTGCTTTATAGTGATATTTCTTTACAATTTTGAGATGTTCACATTGGGTGAGGATTACAATATGTGATACATGGTCTTATCATTAGTTAAAACCCTAATCCTCACGTATTGATCTTATGCATATAGTATGGTGTGAACCATTACCCTAGTTGCTAAGTGTAGCAATTCATTTTGAAATGGAGTTGGTGTTTTTAGGAATGAGCAAAAAGGCTCTAGTTGTAATGAATAAGCCACCTATAGACAAAGCTGTGGGAAAAAAAGGATAAGAACAGAACCTTCTAGGGCTGGAGCAACCTAACCATTTAACATAAACCTCTTTTGAGACCAAGAAAGACAAAAGTATTATGAGACCATCAAGAATTGGTCTTTCATCCTAGAGAGAAGGGTCATTTTGAATCTAGGTGAGTTCATCGATTTCTTTGAAGAAATCACCTGCAAGGCATGAAATAAATTGGCTAACTTATTACCCAAATGAATGCCATAAATGAATCCTTAGACAAGCTCGTGGCTCAATCTAGAACAATTTCCAGCTCACGTAGTATAGCTTGGGGACAAGCCACTTTTTTTTGGAGGGAGTTAGGATCTGAATAGACAGGGTAAATGCTGAAGAAGGACAAGACAATGATAAAGAGGAAGATGTAGATGATATAAACACATGGTTTTATTGTTTTATATTTTAATTTACCACTTTACTTTTGATATTTTGCTTTATGTTTTAGTCACTTACGTTAGTTGGTTTATTTTAGTTATAACTACTCAATCTTAGACTTTATCATCTTTTGGTGTAGATAATAAAAATTATCTTTTTGGAAATTTGTTAAAAGTTTTTTGGATGATCTTTGATTTGAAAGGAATACAATGGTACAATGAATTTGTTTGATTAATACTAAGTTAGTTGGTATTCTTGTGGATAAAAAAAAATCCATTTTTTATTTTTGTTTTGAAACAATTTTTTTTGGGATTTCACTAAAAAAAATTTCTTGTTGAAATTGGTTGAAAAGAAATTAATGCTTAATGCGTGATTATGAACCTTGAACGTGATAGAGATTTTTAAAGATAGTAAAAATTATGGATATACTCGATATTTATATATAAAATGTTATGCATGGAGATATGCAAAGATTAATAACTAGAATAATGAATTGACTAGGTCTAGGAAGTCAAACTTGAAAGTTGGGTATTTATGTGTGCATCTTAAACATCCAATTATGATTTAAACCAAGGCTAAACAGCCAACTTGATTATTGAATAATCCCTTGCACCTTATGTGAGCAAAAAAATATGAAGATTTGATCTTGAAAACCTTTTTGGTACAGAAACTTAGAAAGAATGGAGAACACTCACAATATATGGAATTATTCTTAAACTTGCTTAATGATAATGACATAGCAAAGCACTATATTTATACTAGTCTTGGAGGGATAAATTTGTCCTAGAAAATTAACAAAAATATGGTAAAAATTAAACCTAATTAGGATGAATTTTAGAGTTACA